TGTAGTTTCAGTAAGTAGTGCTTCCTGAAAATTTTATTTTGGGGGGGGATCTTAGCTCAGAGACACACAAAAACAGGCCACAGGCTAGATTTAGCTTGCCAGCCATAGTTTTCCAACCACTGATTTATAACAACAAACCAGCATTTGGAAATCTGATATTTTAAATATATTACATACACCAAAGGTATCAAAAGGTAATAACAGGGTCAGTTTTATTCTACATTAAATAAAGTAAGGTAGCATTATGGCAATTAAAATTACAAGTTGATTAATACATTGAATTCTATATGCTAGACAAACTAATCAAATAATGGGAAAGGAAAATACAGTAAATAGAATTTCAAGAATTCATATTATATACCCATGATTGTGTGTGCCTGTAAAGCAACATATGCACTAGAAAAAAATATGTACTTGAAATTTAAATACTACACATCAAAGCTCAGATCTCCTTTTATAATTAAAACCATTCACTCATTTAAATAATCAAACCTAATCAGTCATTTGTTTTAGATGTCATCAACCCCTGAAAATTAAGAACTGAATTCAAAAACTGGTAGTGGTTTATTTGGTTTTAATTTTTTAATTTATAAGAGTTATTGTAAAATATTAATCAACAATCTAAAATATTACTCTTTAAAAGTTTGTACTCTTAGAACTTTTTAATATTTACTATATCAGTAACCACCACACCACCCTTTTTCCTTCTGTGTAAAAGATAGTTTTTATATATATTTGATTTTATCTAAATTTGAAGGATCCTTATTATCATCTGGATGCTACTACCAAGTATAAATTATGAATAATAAGCTGGGTCAAATTAAAAGTCTAAAATGAAAATTTATCCTGCAAAGATAACCAAACACCATTACACAATAATCTTACCTAGACTGGTGGGTTTTATCAGTTCATCCAGTAAATCATAAAATGGTAATTTTTGAAGTTTTATATCCGGATGGACTGGGTGAAGAGCTGATGTAAGATGAGGAAGTTCCAGTTCATGTTTAGGTCCCAGAAGAGAAACAGGGAGTAACGGTGATGATGCAGGGTGACCATCATAAGTAAGCTGTGGAATGGTAGATGGAGACAAAGTTGCTGGCATAGGACTTGAATGTACGTTGGGGATGGACAAGTCCGCAGGCGTCATGATTTTCTGGGGGAACCGCCGCCTATAGAGTTCTTTAATTTTCATTTGTACAGCAGGACTACAGCCAGCCTTTAGCAAATGCAGGGCTTTTGTGAGAAGTTCGTGTTTGCGTCCGTGCTTGTTTCTCCCAGCGTAGCCCAACAGTACTTGGAGTTCAGAAACTCTAAGGCTCATAACCATTTGCTTAGAAAAAAAACAAAATTAAAATATTAGTATTCTAATAATATAATTTACAATATTATATAATTTATTATAACCCCTTTTCTTATGGTTTGCTTAAAGGCCAGCTCATTTACAATCCTAATTACTTCAAACTTAAAATCATTTAACTTAAGGGGCCGGCCCGGTGGCGCACTGCTACAGTGCGCCGCTTGAGAGCGCAGCGGCGCTCCCGCCGAGGGTTCGGATCCCACATACAGACCGGTTCCCGCTCACTGGCTGAGCGAGGTGCGGGTGCAACACCGAGGGCTGCGATCCCGTTGCCGGTCCCGGCCCGGTACAGGCGCGACACTGAGGGTTGCGGTCCGTTGCCGGACACGAAAAAAGACAAAAAGGAAAAAAAAATCATTTAACTTAAGTAACCAAAGAAATTTAAAATTAATATTCATAAATCCATTGACTTCGACCCAGGGTCATGAAAGATGTAAGATAAAGTATACATCAGGCAGAACCACATCTCATTTCATTCCAATGTTTTAATGAAATTGTCAGATATTTATCAAGGACTTACTGAGTCTCCAGGAGAGTGCCCAGTGCTATGTGGATTGCAAAAGATAATAATTTGCCCTCAAGAACATTTTGTTTTCTTGGGGAAAAATTATTATATATAAAACAGCCCACCTCAAACACCAGCTGTAGGCAGGACGTAAATACCATATGATCAAGTATTACAATACTAATTCTGGAATTCATAGGGCTTAAACTTTACCTTTTTTGACCCATTATACACCAGATACTACATCTGATATTTTCATATGGGGTGTTGCTTAATCATTACAACTCCATAAGGTGATATCCTTCCTGCTTTACATATGAGACCAGAAAGGTTAAATAACTCACCTAAGGCCACATAGATAGTAAGTAGCAGTCAGGACTCAAATCCAAATATGTCTGATTCTAAAGCCCATGCTCTCTCCACTAAACCGTTAGAAAAAGGACAGAGCTGGACACATACTATTTTCACTCCACTTCCAAGGCCAGGCTAAAAGTCTGGGAATTCAAACCACATGCCATAATGTGTGAGGCTGCAGTAAAGAGATCTATTCAACTTTGTTTAACCCTATGTTCACAAACTTATTTGGTCATTGTTTCCCCTTTTTCCTCACCTATTAAGAGGCTACCTACCAACAGGAAATGCCCATCTATACCAATTCTCTCATTTTGAAGTGGTGGAAAATGGAATCCAAAGAGAAGAGATTGACTTACCCAAGATCACACAGCTGTTAACAGCAGACCCCTAAAAGACTTCACCACCACTAACAAGGAGTGGAAAGACACATGCAAGCATTCCATTTGCTATTTCTCCCACTGTTTGTAATTTCCTCACCCCATACCAAATATCAATACACAAAAGTTATGCTGCCTTCCCTAACTCACCTCCAACTGCTGTGATGACCCCCTCCCCCAGCCAATCCTCTAAAAGATCTTTCCAGGTGGCAAAATAATTAAGTAAAAAAATAAAATAGAAGAAAAGTATAGGAAGAGCTTTATAAGCAATATAGCTGGTTAATCAAAGAAATACATCCCCTACTTCTCTGGCCTGGAAAATTCTCTGCTTCCTCAAGGTCCAGCTTTTGTCAGCCTTTGCCTATTAAGCCTGATAGAACCATATTTACTCTATCTTTACTGACCATTTTTCATATCTTTATTTTAGCACTTATTCTGCTGTATAATAATTTCTGGTTTATAAAAGTGATTCCATGACCAGAGTAAGATTCTCTAGGGCATATGACCATGTTACCCTTAGCATCTAAGACTGGAGCCTGACAAAAGTAGAAACTCATCGAATGCCTAGACAATGAATGAATGAACAAATGAACAAGAAAAGGCACACCAGAAGAAAGGGTGAGAGATGGAATCTACAGTGACCAATTATGCACTATAGACTTACGGTCTATAGTGACATGCAAAGGTATACTGTATGTTTTAAAAACAAACTCTACCCCAAATCCTATAAATGTTTCTCTTTTTAGATGTCATCAGGGATTGTAAATAATTACTAACTATATGTCAACAGGATATCAATTTTTCCCTACTCATCAAAATGTCCTGAAGAGTACATAATAGTTGTAAAGATTTTTTTATTATTTATTCAAAAAGGAACAGGGACTTTAAACACTGTCTTGGGTTTAATGTCCTCCCAAAACTTAATCCCACTGTAACTGCTGAGGGTGAGAAATCCTATAATGGTAATTGAAAGGTGGGGCCTTGAAGAAACAATTAGATTGTAGGGCCAAGCCATAGTGAATGGATTAAAAATGGTGGTCATGGGCATGGTTTGGAGGGCTTTAAAAGGAGAGTGAATGAAGATGTTAGTCTCTGCTCTCTGCTCCACCATTTTCGCAATATGATACTCTGCCATCACTGCTGCCACCACCAAGGCTCTCGCCAGATGTACTCCCTGGATTTTGGACTTCTCATCATCAGAAACTGTAAGCAATAAATTTTGTTTTTCTTATAAAGAACCCAGTTCCAGGTATTTTGTTGTAAGCAATAGAAACAGACTGATACAAACATAAATGCACTATTAATAAGTAAGCTTCTGCTTTTAAAGAAATAACACAAAACTCCAAGGATTACAGGTTAAAAATAAATTTAAGTTGGCATTGGTCAAATGCACTTCATTTTACAGAAAAAAATATAAATTTTAGAAAGAACTGTCTTTCCATTTCAATTCAACTCCATGCTCCTAAGTCAAAAGTAAACAAAAACCACAATTCAGTGATGACCATAAACTCTTCATTGATGACAGCCTTTGTAGGTATGAGGACTTAAATGCAGCATAAATCTATTACCGTTCTACAGAGTGCTTTAAAAAGTTCATGGGAAGATTTCTATTATCTTTCAATTCTATATTTCCACAAACTTTTTGAAGTACCCTCATATTTTTGTGGAAGAACATACTGACAATTCACATAAAATAAAAATCTGTTACTTGACGGTCCAAAGAAAGTTAATGACACAATAAACTTGACAGCTCTCAATTATATTTCTGACTGTCTCAAAAGGCAGAGCAAGCAATAGCAGCAATAGCAAGACTTAGTACATAGCACATACTCAAATGGTAGCTGCTATTAGCAAGCCAAGGATTTTTGTTTTTGTTTTTTTAAAAGATTCATCATTAATCATCAACATTATGAGGCAGGTATTGCCCTTATTTTTCAGATGGGGAAACAGACTTAGTAAGATTAAACTTTTTGAATGTCACACAACGAGTTCTATTCTAAATGTATTTTCATACTATAATATTTTAGAGAAAACAAACTACATGCCTTTGAATTTGGGAGAAAAAAATCTATTAAAAGATTTATTTAACGTTCGATCTCCATTTCAAGCTCCAATATTTTCACTTTTAAAAAGTTGGTGGTTAAGAAAAGAATGTGTGTGGATCCAAATTAACCACTGCAACTTATAATCAGGTACAATGAAAGATCAGGTGGTATCTATTACTATTATTGGAGCAGCTGTTGCATATTCGTAAGGACTGTAATAATTATGCAGTATTTTTTAAAAACTAAAGAAGGGAGCAGGAGACACTGAAACATCTGAAGCATCACTCAACCAAAAAGCTGCAGAGAAGTATGGAACACTCAACTCACAATGCAAAGTGTTGACAACACAGGAAAACTAAACACTTAAATACATTGAGATGCTGAAATGAAATATATTTTAATCTGCCATGTATTTAGAAATCTCCATTTGTTAGCACTACAACAAAATGAATATTTACAACTAAGGATAACAACCACCACTACTATTAGAAATCATTACCTCCTCACCAATTTCATAGCGTTCTGCTGACTACATCCTCAAATGATATAGTTCTCAGAACCCTAGGAGATTTAGAATGCCTGAGAACTGTATATATTCTGTACAAAAGAGCATTCTGTAAGGGGCATCTTCTTAAAATTAATTTTTTTAATCAGAGAGATATACAATCTAAAAAGCCAAATAGCTTTACGAGAAAAATAGCAGTCCCACCACACCCCCAATTTTTGAATCCTCAAGGCAACCACTTTCAAATCTTTTCAGCTATTTCTTCTACCATTTTTCACTACATTCTATACAGTAGGTTTATATAGCTGTTTCTTAATTTTTCCTTTTAGGTATCTACTGACTTTCTATTTTAAAAGACAAATGGTTTAGGTCTGTTACATCTTCCCTCTCCCTCATCTTCCCATCATAATTTTTGGCTGAATCAACTGTGAGTGCTTACGTTATTACTACGAATGTAAACAATGCTCACAGCTAAATCAAAAGTACATTGCAATTACTCTTCCTTTTTTTGTATAACTTTGCTTTCTTGATAGTTAATAAACACACCATTTTTCCATTTGCTTAGTTTTCTATTATCTACAAACTCTCTGCTGAAAGTCTTTTCCTCTCAGAGGTAAATCTGTTTTTGTTGTTGTTGTTGTTGTTTTGGGGTCAAGCAATAGCAATAAGCAGATAGTACATTTTGCGATTAAACAGAAAGTGCCAGTTTCATTGTCTCATTAACTATGACCTTACATTACTAAAGGTCATATCTAAATTGTGAATGAGAATTAGGTACTTCCTGCTGAACAACATAATTATTCTCACACATCCCACTGCAGTAGTTTACAGGATTAGTCATAAAGCAGACTCTATGAGTTTTTTTATCTGGTATCAATTTATAACCAATTGTAAACCAGAACAAATTCTGAAGGTAGACAAAATAGGCATTTAATAATGTCATAATACTTCATTTATACTTTTGTTTTTTATCCACAAAAATAAAGGAATAATCAAAAATTCTATAATTGTGTATCTAGTACAACAAAACATTTAATTCATTACTTTCAAAGTCAGATTCTTCCTTCAATGGAACTAACTTTTGGATCATTTCTAATCCTTCCCATTAGAAACAGTTAATAAGCAGCTGTTAGATTAGCATTTTGTCAGCAATGCCAAGTTCAACCAGAAAACCTAGTTAGACAGTC